TTCTATCACCTGTGCTGGAAATGCTGAAGTGAGGAGAGAGCCACACACCTCCTGGGCACCTCCTCACTTCAGCATGTCCACCCAGGATCAGGACTATGGGCACAGCCTCTACAGTGGGACACTGAGCATCTGCCAGCCTCCTCCCCCATCCCTCCTGTGAAAGCACCAGGTTCCAGGGCAGGACAAAGGAGCCATTTGTGGGTACGAGTCAGATACAATGGAGTCAGATACAATGGAGGGACCCAGCAACATAAGCAAAAAACCTGAGGGCAGCAGCCAGTAGAGCTGGTGTTGTGAGGGGCAGCCAAGGGAGGTGCCTTCCCACTTATCCTGTAGGGGAAGGTGAGCAGACAGGGACTAAAAGGGTGGATGTGCTGCATGGCAGTCCCTCATCATCACCACCAGCAGTGAAGCAGTTAAGATGTGGGGAGCCCTCTTTTTTTTTCCCTACATCTCAAAATAGCACAAGGCAGCCTTTGAGCACGGGCAGTGATGTGCTGACATTTGTCCCTTGGAAACATCCCCTCCACCACCCCTTCTGCTCAGTTCATGGGGCAGGAAGAGCCACCCACTTGGAGATGGAGCCCGGAAAGCCTCTCGAGGAACAGGACACTTCCTCAGGGCTGACCTTCTAAAAATAGCCTGGTAGGGATGAATGCTTGTGTGAAACAGCCTGCAACCCAATGTGATGTTGTACATGCTGGAATCTCTATAGGCTGGAATCTCTTTAGGCTAGAACGAGGTGTAATGTGAAGGAGGCAAGGAGGAAAGGAGAAGCCAGTTGTCTGATTTCTGCCTCTCATTAGGGGTCTCTGATAGTGAGGGGAGTGGGGCAAATATCTCCAGGGTATGATCCAGGGCAGGGCATGGGCTTGGGAACCTAGCTGGCCCTCTTGGGGTAACTGACTCTTGGGGGTACACAGTTCTCAGCTTCAATTTTTGCAGAATCCCAAGGCAAATTGCTCTGTTGCAAGATTCTATCAACCCATTCAACAGATAGCATTTTTATTAACCATTATTTGTTAACCTTTTCTGGTAGTGAAACCACATCTTTAGCCAGTAGGAAAATATCACAGCTCTCTGGCAAAGAGGCAGGCTGAGCTCCTGGAAGCTGCCAGATGTTCATTTTTCTCTCCCCCCTCCTAAAATATCAAAATTTTAATTTACTCAGATGAATGAGCAGTTGACTAAACAGACATTCAATATAAAATTCATAGTAAGAGAAGAGACACTTGGGATAATTTTGATTGATTTACTTGGCAGAGTTTTGATAGCTACTGAAAAACATACTATTCATGTTTAGGTGAAAAATAAATGGAGTCAAATAAGTGTCACTGCATAGTACTAGGAGGTATATACAGCCACATGTAAAAATGCATAAACACAAACATTTCTGTACAGCAACTTTTCTTTTCAGTCTGTATAGAGAAACACTGGTTTATAATATGGGGAAAATATAAAGCAGACATACATGCAACAAGGACATGACAGTTACATAGGTCCCACCTGCCTCCCAACAGCTGAAATAACAATAATAACAATAATTATAATAATAAAAGCCTTTTTTTGGGGAAAAAATTTGAAACCTGGAATGTTTTCATGTTGAGGTTTCCAGAGAGCTTCAGATGTGAAACATATCTGAAGGTGATTTAAAGGCTTGATTCAAAGCCCTGTGAAGGCAATGGAAAAACTCCATTGGTTTCAGTGAGCTTGGGGTCAGACCCAGCTATTTAACCATGATCCCATTCTGCCCTCCCCCAAAACCCAAAGTTGAAATCTGCAGATAAAAATAAACAATCATATCATACAAAACTTTGTATATAGAATACAAAAGGTAACAGTTGAGTTTTTGTATAAAATACAACTTTTTGATAGTATATTTATTTCACATATGTATAAATATAACCCAAATAATATGATTTTTATTATTCCTACCAAAATATTATTACTTTTTGTTGTTGTTTTTACAAAAGTTTACAAAACAAATAATTCTTTATATTTACAACCCAATACTGTGAAGAGTGCCCAGTCAATGATGAAAAATAGATTTTAAGGGTAGTGCACTTAGCCATTGCAAAGAAAGAAAAAAAAAGACACTAGCTCCATTCAGATGCAAGTGTTCTGAAGAAATGATACTAGATTCAAGTTTTGGTTGCTAGAGTCTTTCACGAGCTCTCATTTCAAATGCATCAGGCATATATATACAGGACTGGAAATGGCCTCTACCTTTTTTGAATTTACTTAAGACAGGATGTAATTTTGCTCCCAGGGATGGCACTCACAGCCCAGTGTCTTTTGCACTCAGGCTGAGGCCAACAGGACAACACTCAGCACTGAGTCCACCACTGCATGATACCATAGAACCATGGAATCATAGAATATCCTGAGTTGGAAGGGACCCATGAGAATCATTGAGTCCAACTCCTGCCTCCTTGGGACCAGCTCCTCGGCTGAACAATTTTTTTTTGCATTATTCGAGGACCTTGAAATCAGTCTGGCCCTAATACAGAAACCAGTGGTGGCTTTTTCAATGGCATGTGAGGGTAGTTGAAGTTACCAGACTGCAGTGCCCATTGCTGATGGTGATGCTAACTCAGCCTTGGCCTCAGTGGCATCCATGGCAGCTGTCTGTCCCTACCAATGTGCTGGCAGTCACTGCTGACCTGCTCATGGGCAGGCAGTGTGTGAGGCAGAGAAGCCAATCTTCCTTTCACTTCAAACTCATGCAGCTGCTGCTTCAGTCTAGTTTTGCACGATTTATACGGGACATGTTTGTTATATCGCATCTGTATCTCTCCAAGCTTAGGTGGGACCCCAGTGGCCTGAGCTGAAAAGCTTTTCAAAGGCTTGAAAAAACTTGTACTGATATATCAGAGGGATCACATGCACCCTGACCAAACCTGGGGAGAAGAGGGAGCTTTCTGGGCAGCTGAGTCACCACGTTACACAATGCAGAGGTGTGCAATGATCACTGGCTGGGCTGGCAGAAGGGACTCTTCAGCAGGCTCTCTTGTCCCTCTTATTTCTCTGGGAATGAACAGCCTCTACTGGCATATCTAACTAAATGCCCATGTTACACCTATTGTGGAGGTGCTGGTGCTCATTTGTGTGACGATGCTTCTTGAAACATCCTGAAAAATTGTGCCCATTTGAAATGACAGGGTGAAATAACTGGAAAAGCCTTATTAAAACCTCTCACAAGAAGTAGGTCAGATAAGTGCAGAGGCTATTGTCAAATAGTCTACTCATCCCACTGCCACTAACAAGGATGAATAAAGCACTTGCACGGGCTGAGCAATGCCTCTTGGCACCAAGGCATGGGAACGTAGGCATTGTATTCCTTTGCCACATCTAGTTTTAGCTAATTCAGAGGAGGCTGTGAAACACATTGCACCCCATCATTTGAAAGAACAGCACTTTCATTTGAATTGTGAGATCTGTTCCCATCCATGAATCCTGTCTGAATCACTGTGCAGCTGCTTTGTAGTGACATAGCATATCCTTCTGATGCCATTACTGACCAAGCCTATAGCAAAGAATTTAATATAGTCAAGACTATTCCCTGGCAGGTGTGGAACAGCCTGCATCCTTACTGCTCTGCTCTGTTAGCCTTCAAGGCAAGGTGGCTGCAAACTGCTCATGGGAATGGTCCTTGCCCCAGTATATCTTCTTTCTATGCACAGAAACTGCTCAGGACAAAATTAGCTGGTCCATCCCCAAACCCAGAACAGATGATTGAGTCCAGTGCCCAGAATTAATCCCCAGAACTGTTTCATGTACAAGCACAGATGTGGCTGATGGAGCCTCTTGCTGTGAGTTATAATTGATGTGCATGCTAGTTTCAGGGGCAGAGCCTCTTGTACTCCAGAGAGAGGCTGTGGGGACCTGGGCTATCAGCAGGACTCTTTCAACTCTCCCCATATGGCAAAGGAGAAAACAGGATGGAACCAAAATGCTGTGCAATCAAAATGGCAGCTTCCCCCCTGGCAGGTAGATGATGGCATTTCATCTGGGCTAAAACTGTTTGAGAGAAGAAGATCGGGCTGATTGATACCTGATTGATACTCGCCGTGATTTGAGATGAAAACAAGGACAGTGGCTTAGCTGAGCCACTTTAGGTATCTGCCCTTCTCTAAGCGGGACTGGGAGAGTAGTCAGGGACAAATCATGAGCACCCTTCTCACTCAGGTTTCTATTAAGTCACTGGAGTCCTTGGGGAAGGGCAAAGTGGCAAAGTGAGGATCCTGAGCTTTGGAAGTAGTTCATCTTATGTTTCCCTCAATGCCCAGAATGACTGTGCTGCTGGCAGAACAGCAGCATCCTCTAATACTCACTGCAAACACTGGTGAAAGGGAGAACGCAAATGCTAGAGCACACCAAATAACACGCTGGATGATCTGTTTCCTTCCTCCCTTGGATGAGACCACTTATCCTGCTGTGTGCTACAAAAGGTTTATAACAAAATCATTTGGGAAGGCAAATGTAAGTTTGTACTGTGCAGAAGTAAACAGTTTTTGTAATGCCATGAGATTTACACAGGGCTTGATGCTGTCAGGGCTGAGAAGTCCCAAGGAAGTAAAGGGCTGTGAACAAGATGACTGAAGAGCTGTGGAGCACTTGGGGCCTTACTTGCACTCAGAGAACTGATGTTCCACAGCTCATACCACTGTCTGGTGCTTCCATGTGTGGGAAGCTGAACGCATTTTTTTCCCGGAGCTCCTCTGAGAAGAACCAATGAGTTTGCAATGGGCTGGGCACAGGTCTGGGGAACAGACCCTTCACATGTTTTCACTCCTTTGTGGCAGGCAGGAATATCACTTAGACTGTCACTTCAGTTTTGTTCCTAGAGCTACTCTTCAAACAGGGCAGTTGCTCTATGTTGTATTTTAAAGGACAGCCCAGTTACTGGAGTGTAAATTAATGAAGCAGGTTGTTGGTATCTAAAGAGAAAGCTAATGTCCTTGCTGCCTCTTCCTCTGGTTCCCTCTTGGTACTGTCACTTACGAGTGGTTCCCTAAAATTTCATCGAGGTTGATGTCTTTCATCCAGTCATCATTACCTGGTTCTGTTTTCAGTAAAGAATCTATAAAATCCGTGTCACTGTTGAGCGCAGGTCCTATACTGTCCCCTTGCTGGTTCAGAAAGTCAAATGCTAGGTCACTGCCATGCTCACTTCCTTGGTACGCCCGGGAGGTTTGGTTGGTGGTTGTGAAACCAGTTGATGGCAGAGATGATGGCGGTGTCATACTTGTTCCTGGCTGATTCAAGGCAGGCACAGTCTGTCCTCTCAGCTGATTGGGTCTTATGCTGAGCCCTCGTAGCGAGCCAGCAGATTGTCCATTTAGAGTCTGGTGCATTTGGTTTAGAGGGGGCCTCATTTGGACTCCCGCCGGTAACTGGTTAGGAGGTGCCAATGCACGCTGAGGAAAATGCTGGTTGCCTACGCTGCGCTGCAAAGACTGGTTAGGATATGGAGTGCCCGTGGGGAAACGCACCCCTGCAGGTTTCAGTGCATCCTGCTGCTTCACTGCAGCCTCTTGCGGGGCCCAGTTCTGGGCATTGGCAGTGGCCGTGATCATCACATTGGCCGGCCGTTGAGCAGGGATAGCTGTCGCTCCATGGGTCAAGCCTGGCCTTATTTGCTGAGTGTTGACCACTGACCCCGTCCCAAAAGCTGCCCCGTTGTTCCCCTGGGTCATGGTTTGCTGTCGGGACACCATGGGGTTATTCTGACTGGGCAGAACTTGATTTTGGTTTCTGTGTGGCTGCATTTGGTTCATTCCTGAAGTCACATTGTATGTGCTTGGTTGGTTGCAAGGAAGGTTCCCGTAGCAGCCCAAACTCCGAGCAGCAGGAACAGAAGGCATTCGGGTTCCAGCAGGGGTGGACATGAGGCTGGAGCTCTGGGGCATGATGCTGTGAGTTGAAATTGGGTTGGATAAGGACATGTTGTTGGAGCTCATGCTCACAGCTGGTGAACCACCTGGAAAGAAGAAAACAAAGTGTTACAACAAGCGTGGGTGCATCAATATGTGGTGTCATTCAAATACCAACAGCTCAAAAATCCAGTTTTCTATGAGCAGAGTTTCTTGAAGAAGACACTTGCTCTTAAGAGGACTTACATGAACTTGCTCAAGGCCTTGAAGATGTCTATCATCCAAAGGGTGGTTTGGTCTATACTAAGCCACCTGTGGTTTTTCCATACCTTCAGAGGAGAGCACATGAGCCAAAACTGATGCTCATTGTAAGAGAAATATTGGAGCAGGGAAGGACAGACAGAACCACTGGGCAGAAGAGAAGACTTTCTTGCCTTCCTTTACAGAAGCACTAGACACGTCAGGACAAAGCCTCTCTAACTGATCAGAGATCAAGAACTTTTCCTTACAGGGCATAGCTCATCCTGGCTTCCTCTAGAGACAATGGGGAGTGAGAGGCACTTTAATCAGGCTTCTTTTCCACCTTTCTTAAACACCTGCAGCAGCAGTATCCATCCTTTGTTTGGGAATGTCTGTCCCAGATGACAGCAGGAGCCAAGAGTGCCTCTCACACATTTGCAGCCGTATGCTGGGGCAGGAGCTCAGTCCAGTCTGTGACGTGCCTGTCCTCCCACGTGGTGGCTGAGCAGGCATGGGGACATGACCCAGTGCTGTGCCTGGTGAGCCCCACATGTGCCCTTTCTAAACTCTCTTCCCAGCTGGGCTTATGGCTATTTGCCCCTGCAGAAACAGACTTGCCAGTGAGGGAGCCACACATGATGTGCCAGCGCTTGCTGCACGTGAACCTTTTGTACGTCAGAAAACTACAAGTTATGAGTTGGCAGGAATTGATCACTCCTGGCTGATTCTGCCCAATGGAGGATTTTCCTGTACTTAACAACTGCCAATGGATGACAAGAAAATAGAATTTTCTTGCCTTCAGCTGCCAAACCTCAACAAAAGCTCACTTCTTTGGCTACATTGCCATAGTTTGAGGCCACAGTAGGTCACTTATACCATGAAAGCTGAGTGCTTATGCAGTGCAGGACTGAATTAATCCCTGAGAGACTGGTTGAAAAAGACCAACCACTTTTTAAACTCAGCCAGTGTAGATGGCACTGTGAAGAATCCTTTCTGCACACAACCAGCTGCTCCACATTGTAATTCCCTTTGCTACTGTTGCTTCCAGTACAAACCCTACAAGAAGCACAGCTCAAAAAAGTCAGGTTCAAGGCAAATGAAAGGAGATGTTTCTTCACAGAATGTATGGGTCAGCCGAGGAAATCTGTGCCACATGGCACAGTACAAGCTAAATTCTCACACATCTTTGGGTGGCCCTCAAAGTGTGAGAAAAGCTGTCAAATGAGCTTGCTACCAAGGTACCACTGCATTTCAGGAATTCTCTGAGCCTTTCCCAGAGGAGGAACGAGGAGATTTGCTGTTTCATAGGGTGCAACTAATAGCAATTTTTGGGCATGAGACATTGCCTTGGTTAGATCCTTTGTACATATGGCAAAACCAGATGGAATTTGACTAACTTCAGCTTCATCACCAAATCTTATTATATATTGGTCTGCGTGACTAATTTTATTAGTTGGTCCATCATAAATTCCTTCCTACTACACAGTGCTTCGAGACTGTGTCATGCCTGCAGCATTCTCCAGATACTTCAGTCTCAGTGTGTGGCATGTTTTCCAGTCCCTTGATCCTTTGGAAGTCCCTTCAGAATGTGGCAGTTTTTGATGTTGATTTCAGAGCTGTACATCATAGCTGGTCACAGCAATAACTTTTGCACATCTCCATTGTGGATGTAAAGTAAGCTCTATTTTTCCAGTTCAGCATCATCTGGGACAATGTTTGCCTATCCAGTTTCAATCACACAGCCTGCCCACGGTGATATCTGAAGACCTGTCAGCCATTTCCTTTTGAGCTATGTTAATTCTGTGCCACTCAGGTTTCTTAACCAAAATAGGCAGTAAGAAGTCAGATGCTTTAAGGGACATAACCTGAGCAACTATTGCCTTTAAGTTGTGGATTCATTGAAAGAGATACCATGCAAGTTTAAAAAGATTTTTCTAACATCAGCCCATGTTGCTTGAAATTAATTAAATCTTCCCCTTCCTTAATTCTTTATTATTTGGGCTGTACCTGCTCCCCAGTAGTTTTACTGAACTCTGCATTAGGCTACTAGGGCTGCAATTACCTACTTAGTCTTTTAATTTTTATCATGGCATTAGCAGTCTCCCTTGGTGTTTCAAGACTACATAAAAGGTGACACTAAGAATTTGGAGAACCTGTCAGCCAGCTCTTTTAAAACTCTTTTAGACAAATCATGGGCATACATATTTAAAAAGTCTATGTTTAGGAACAGCTATTTAATATACTGTTCCTGTTGAAATTTCACCGTAATGATGTTCAGCTCCCACAGTCTGGAACCAAAGAAAAAATGGTATATTTCTGCTTTTTCTGCATTATTTTTATACATATGCTATTTCCATTTAGTAATGGATGTAAAGGATTCATTTATTTCCTTAAGGACTTAAAAATAACTCTTCCCAAATCATTATTAACACTGAGTGTGACTCCACAACCAGAGTGCTTGTTTCAAATCAATATAGACATAGATACCTAAATTAAGAAGCTGCCCCTAGCTTGGAAGGCAGCCTGTTCCACAAACAGGCTGCAAGTGGGACTGTAGAGGATCTAATTATCCTAACAACTGTGTTGTCTTAACTTAAGCACCTAAATTCAGTCCCTGAGCTGGGCAGCCCCTGGGACAGGGTACGCTATGGGGAGTCCACCTGTTTTTAGCCCAACAGGGACGATCACATTCCCACAATCAGTGCTCAGCTGGCAACCACGTGATTAGCCCCATCTTTGGCTTTGCTGGTGGGTTGTGAATTTTTGGAACTACTGTAACATCTCCTATGAAGACAGGCTGAGACAGGTGGGGTTGTTAAGATGGGAGAAGAGAAGGTTCTGAGGTGATCTAGTAATTTCTAGTACCTAAAGGTGGCTATGAGAGAGAGAGAGAGAGACAGGGACTTTTTACGAGGATATGCAGTGACAGGACAAGGGGGAATGACTTTAAATTGAGGTTTAGCTTAGACATAGGGAAGAAATTTACTCAGGGGTGGTGAAACACTGGACTAGTGAAAGGGTTGTGGATGTCCCATCCCTGAAAGTATGCAAGGCCAGGCTGGATGGGGCTCTGACTACCCTGGTCTAGTGAAAGGTTGGAACTAGATGATCTTTAAAGTCTCTTCCAACCCGAACCTTTCTGTGATTCTGTGATTTCTTTTTTTTTTTTTTTTTTCAGGGATGATAGGGATGGGTCCCTGATTTTTTGCTCCTGTGAGCCCATAATAAAGAGAGAATTCAGTGGCATTTCAAGAGATGGTTCTCTCCCTCCAGCTGAACTGCAAGTTTGTAGAGTCACTTCATTGCCACTGGGATGGAGCCCCTCATGGGGTGACCCTGCCAGCTGTTGAGCAGACCTCAGGGCTACCATCACACTGCAAATGCTACACTTTTTGAAGAACACAAGTGTTTGGGAAGGGGTTGTACTTTTTGCCAAAAGACGAAGCTTCCTCTTTCTTTGTTTTGCTATTTTTATGCTTTTATTTTTAACGCAAGTATTTTCCATTCTTATTTCTTCCAGATGGGAAGAAATGCCTTCCCCAGAAGCACTCTGTACAGCAGCTGGGCACCAAAGGCTACAGCAATCTGGAGAAACAGCTTTTCTACCCAATTCACCTGCTCCTTTCTTGGGGGTCTCTTGCCATGGCATGGCACTGTGGGGAAAAGTATAGGGAAATAAAATTCTCAGCCAAGTTTCTCCAGCCTGTGTGATTTTATTTAGCTTTTTGTTTCTTCTTCCCTGATCTGAGCAAAGCTATTCCCAGAAAAAGGAAACAGTTTCCCTACTGTTACTCCCTTATGCAAGAGTTTCCTAATCACTCCCTCTGGTAGCTTTGCTGGAAGCTCCCAGCACAGCCCTTTCTCCCAGGCTCGCATGAAAGGCTGCTGTCCTCCCGGGGCTCACTCAGCAGGGACTTGAGATTTGAATGGACAAGTGCTGCCATCCCCACATGTTTCAAACCGAGGAGATGCGACTCCAAATATCACAAGACTGGCAGAAAGTCCATCAGATTAACAGCAACAAGAGCTGTCACATAACAATGGTGATCTACTCACTTTGGAGCCTTTCACACATGTGGCTGCACTTGCTTCCATTTTCTGTCTCAGCCTAGAAATGGATTGTTTTTAAGTAAAAGCCAAGAGTCTCAGTTAATCATTTGGTTCCAGGAACAAACCTTTAAACAACACACCAAATCACAAGATTCCTCAGCAAAATGCTGGGCTTGCCAAAGCATTTATTTTGGGAATACAGGAGATACCAAGCCAGTGAGCAGGGCCCTTACCATGGGATATTACACTGGGATGCTTGAGCCACTTTACTGGAGAAGATTAATGCCCAGGTCCATTAGAAAGCAGCAGTTTCCAGGCTGCAGCAAGGTTATCACTGCTAGAACTTGTAAGCAGAGCAAAGGAGTGCATGAATGCTGCTTGAGTGGCCCAGCCTGGCCCATCCCTACATAGCCAGCAGATTGGGCAGAGGGGTGGCATGTGAGTAAGCTGCACTTCAGAGCTCATTAAAATTGTAATAGAAGCAGAAAATGTTGTGCTACGAAGGACAGGTAAGAAGGAAAGACTCAGATCACTGGCTGAATCTGCAGAGCCAATAATTATAAAAAAACAACAAAAAAAAAACCTCTCTTCTTTTTCTTTAGCATGTTGCATACAAAAATATACTAGAAGGCAAAGAATTCTTTTTATACTTATATGCACAGACACTTTTGCAGTATAGAAAACATCCTTTAGTCCCATCTGCTGCATTTCCCCCACCTCCTCTCCCCTCAGCATTTTTTCCTTACTCTGCCTTTGCTCTCTGAGTTGCCATCAGCCAATCAGCAAGGTGAACAGTATGAAAAGCCAAACAATCCTGTGCTCCAACAACTAGACTCTAGACCTAGGAGGTCAGAGCACAAGAGTTGAAGCAAAGGACTAGTCCTGAAGTGTTGGGCATTTCCTGCCCTGGGCAGCTCTGGCAGAAAGCAAGGGCTTTTACTCTACTGTTTGACTGATCTGTTGAAATGCTGCATGTAGAGCAGCTCTAAGGCCATGACCACAGCCTGTTAAACACACCAAAAGTACCACTCATGATGGTGCTGTGTGGGGTACTTAAAAACCTGTGTGAGGGTCCTCACACTGTACATGAACTGCTGTTTGAAGGGAGAAATGGTTCTCATCTCAGTCCCTGAACCAAGTTGCACCACATATGTGAGAAAAGCATCTGAACACAGTGAGGTTGCATAGTCAAGAGGACCCCTCTGCATCAGGTATGTGGGTGCACATCTGCCCCAGATAGTGCTAATGGGAAGGGCACCAACTCCTCCTTCCCCATGTCTGAGAGAGACAGTATCAGCCTGGATGAAGCACCAGATCATACACCAGCACTTCTCAGTGGTGCAGGACAGTGAGGTAAATAGCACAGGAGGGCACAGCCACCACCCACTGCCTCTGCAGTGATTGAAGCAGATATCCAGAAAATCATGCCCCAGTCATCCCATGCATGCCTGCCTCTTATGGGTGCTCTTCTAGCTGGAAGGAAGGAAGAAAGGAAGGAGTTGCTTTGAGGCCATGGGTACTTACCAGGATATTGGTTTGCTTGTTGCATGTTGACCACATTCCTTCTTTGGTCTTTATAATCTGGTGGTGGTCTTGTCAAGTGTCTGTTCAGCTGGTCTTGTGGAGTTATTTTCTCCTAGAGGATTAGAGTAGAAGTACATTAATTTGCTTTTCTTTTTGCTTTCCTGTCTCTGTGTTTTGCCAATCTCTTTCTTTTCTCAGTTATGTAAAAGGTGAAGTATTCCTTCCTTTCACCCCGTCTGGTCCACAGGACAGTCACATGTGAAACTGTGCCATCACCTACTGAAGTCTATATGGAAATACCTCTGCATTGTGTTTGAGTCTGGTTCAACTTTCCTCTCAGCCTCTGAGAACAATGTCCATGTCTGCACTGCAGTACAAAGTGTATTTCTATTTCAGCTTGTCAAACCCATCCACAGCCATGCCCTCCCTCACTCTGTCATCCTACACTGTAGGGGTGACCACAAAACCCAGTAAAATCCTTGCTTTTTGCTCCCCTCAGCTCTCCTTACTAGGGATACCAGCAGTAGGGATATACACCTGGTTTAGGACAAGGACAAGGATGGTGCTGGGCTGGCTGTTTTCATGCCACTCAGCATTACCCTGTGCTTCCTTGTATGAGTTGCTGGTCTTTCCTCTTACATTGGGAGTACAAGAACTGGGGCAAGGACAGCAAGGAAAGATTGCAGGAAAAATATTAGCTGGGGAGATTTTATTTTGTTGAGCTCGCAGGGACATGTCTCTGGTGAGAGAGCCAAGTCCTTGAACTGAAATCTGACTAACTGGCCTGTGCTCATAAAGATCTCAAAAGAGCAGGCACCAGAGTCAATGCTAAATGTCTCATCAGCATCAGTGTGATTTGCTGCCTCCAGAGTGCTCCTGCTCACCCAAGAGACGTGGTTCCTTGGGATATGTGCCCCCATGGCAGGAAATTGTGAGTTTGGTGCACATGTGCCTTTACTGGACAGCTGCTGGGACAGCATCACATCACACCTCTTGTGCAATGTGCACAGGTTTTGTCCTCAGCTGCCAGAATGGCAAATCAGCTTGTCAGTGTGAAAGAGTCAGGCCTTGGCTGATGATGTAAGTCCATCAGAGTAATTTGGAGATAATCTGCCTGAAAACAGCATGTATATGAACCTTCTAGTGAAAAATTTGTATTTTCTTCTCCCAGAAACACTTGAAACCACTGGGAGAAGAGCCAATCTTGTGTTATTTAGGGCATTTCCACAATTCATGATGGGAGGGAGGGGTCTGATTAAGATTTGTAAGGTTTGTTTTTATATCCTGCTCAACCTGAATCCTTGTGAAGAAGACAGACTCCCATGAAATCCCTGCAATTCATGTAAAAACTGTGGGCAAGCTTTATGTGCATTTCTATGTACACAATACAAAAGCAAAGCCAAGCTGATTAAATTTCAATTTTATTTAAGATAAGCTATTAGAGCAGTTAAGTTTTTGCTCTGCTAAAAATTCTGACAGAAAACTGCAGCACAGAGAGCTGACTTTGAACTTCTTTTTTCTTCTGCATGAATCAAAAAGTCAATAAATATTTCCTTTCTAGAATCCCCCATGTCTCCTAAAATGACCAGAAAATCCCAAGTAGTCTCTCAGATACCAAAGGACAAAGAACTGGCTACAGATACCTAGAAATGCAAAAATAAAACCAAAGAAAATAGGACTCATACACAATCCCAGCCAAGCCCACAAACTTGTGTTGAACCCCAAAATCAAGGTACCTGATCCTTGTTCACACACAGGCATTTTACACTATGCTGCCTGGGTGACAGCTCCTGGAAGTAAACTTTCCCCTGAGGTGGAAGTAGCATAGCAGTGCACCTTGGTCTATTTTGCAAAGAAAACCACTGACAATATTCTTATGTCTCAAAACCAAGCATATGCTTGGATTGTTCTTGTAATGAAACTGCAGTAGCTTGAAAACTTGTTTAGTACAGATTGAAGAAGGTTTCAAAAAGGCTTAGAAAAGTGCTGAAAAATACAAGGCGCACTCTTGACGTTCTAGGCATTGCCAAAACAACCTTGAAGTTTTAGGGGGCTTTCTTTTCTATTGTTTTTATGACAATATTTTCCATGTAAAATAAGAAATTAGTAAACTTACAGCTTCTGCCAACATCTGCTGCTGTAGAAGGAGTTGTTTTTGCTCCATCATTTGCCGTTGCAGAGCCTGTTTCTTTTCCATCAGCTGCTGATTCAACAATGATTGCTGGGATGAGTTCATGTAACCACTTCCAGTGTTTGGATTTGAGCAAGAACTGGAGCTTGGAGTGGGGCCAGCTCCCTGGCCTACCACAGAGTGTTGTTCCTGAAACAGAAGAGAAGGTTCATGAAGGATGAAAATAATAACAAGCGTCAAGCAAAGGAAATAATCCTTTTTATGTAATTAGCTGAAGCTCAGGACACAGCTCACAGACTCTCAGGACAAGTGACCAATACAAAGGCTATGACAAAGTAAGAAGAGGATTGAGTAACTTCATCCCTCAGGAAAGACTCTGAAAATGTGCCAGGTGGCTCCAGTGGAAAGCCTCAATATTGTACCAGGAGCTTGGGAAATATTAACAGAAGTAACAGAGCTGTCCTGGGGATCTTTCAGGAAACGTGCATTGGGCTGTACAGCAGTTTGTTTGACCACAAGGGAACTAACGCAGTGTCTGCTGGTTCCTACCATCTGGTGAACAGCAGTGAGAAGCTGCAGACTTATTGGTAGAAGTGGCATCTATTCTTAGAAAATACAGAGGTGGGAAGTTAATACTTCACAGTGGGGTGAATGGTGCTGCTTTCATTTGTCCCATCATCTCCCTGACAAGAGCAGTCTCTGAGAGACTGCTAATTGAATCCCATTAGCACCACGATTAAATAGGCTTAGAGTGTATCAACTTCCTCAGTAAAATAAATGTGTTACTGGCAAGGACCTTGAAGGGTGTCTCTGGTCTTTGTGAGGGACCTAGATCTGCTTCCTGTTCCCAGTGTGCAGCTCCATAATGAAGGGATGGCAAAAAGTCATCTTAGAGCGCAGTGGGGAAGGAACATGAGGACTCAAACCATGCTCATACAAGAAGAGAATGTACATGGGATGACAGTATGCTGCTCCTTTTCTCTTGGCCATTATTTCCCTTGGCACTAATGTGTTTTCTGCCTACTTGCTCCAGCAGTGTTTGGTACTTGGGCCTTTACCAAATGTAGCTTTCTCAGTACACACACAAAAATACTCAGCCTATGTTGGATCACTCAATACCCACGTATTTCTTAGCCACACAGCTACAAAGAAAATGGGATACACTGAAGAGGTCACAATAGTCAGGAGACACATCCATTCTCTGACTCCACTTGGCTGCAATTCACCATAAGAAGCAACCACATAACTCTGTATAACCCAAGAGGCAGCAGCATTTTTGCCTTGCAACACAAGACCTCACAGCAGGAGTCTGATGCTCCCTGTTGTGCAGGGAGGCGTACACTCTCTCGAGTGGCCAGGATCTGGGCTGCTATCCTAGTAAAGCTCTGCTCCATGGCCACTGTCCCCCGGGGCATTTGGGCAAACATGGGCTGACATTGAAACAAAGATTGGTCATATGTAGCCTACTCATGCCCTGAGGACCACGGAGCACTGATGTTTAGCACTTTGCAACCTCCAGGAAAGCTCATTCTTGTGCCTTAGCTTTTGCATCCCTCCCCTCCCCAGTAACACACTCCATACAGACTGATCCCACTTATCTTTCTACCATCTGGCATGGAAGAAGCACAATGATTGTATGGGTATTTCTATTTTAAAATAACTCCCTGGCTTCTAGATGGGGCTACATGAGTGTGTAGCTAGTTAGATAAAGTATTTGAAGACTGTTACTGAAATAAAAGCCTTGACTTTCTTCTGGAGCCACCTGCAGCCCCCAAGGCAGTGTTACAAACCCACCCTTCAAATTTATTGGGCTCTTACACAATTATATCCTGCACACTTTCTTTCAGTTCCAGAAGGAATCTAGGATTGCTCGGCACTGCCACATTTTTCAGCCCTTATGTTAGCTGCAAGATAGAAAATACCTCCTCTCAACAGACCCGCTTGCCAAGTTGTTGCGCAAACTTTTTTGTCTTTCCTAAAATATTTTGAAAAGAAAAATATGTTACAATAAATTGGCTTTGACTTCTATATTCAAATGACAACTCTAGCTTGAACCCAGCCACATGTTCCATCCATTAATAGAATTCATCTGTTGTGTTTTTGCACAGATAGTGCAGGCTCCCCCGAATGTGCTTTCAGTCCTACGTAAAAAAACCAACAAAGCCTAAGTTTTTCTTTCCCTCATTCCCTACCAACCCATATAAGCAGTGGGGGGGATTTTGTCTTAAGATAAACTGTGTAGTGTTCATTCACAGTATCTATCAAAGAAAGCTCTTCTGTAATAGCCATTGGCACAAAGCACCAGCTGCTTGGCAAACAGACCCTGAGAAAACAGTGTAAATCATCAACTTGGAGCCAGGTTGGGGGTTTTTTTGCATTTGGTCCTTTCTCTGCCGTTCATGAAATGTCAGTGCGAGCCTATGAATCTACGATGTGTTACTTCTCCTGCCTGCTGATGTTCCCCTTGCAATGGGAGAAGGAAGAACAGTTTCCTAATAAATCAGGAGACTAGCTGCACAGCAGTTTGACCCTTCATGAACCAGTGCTATCGGGCCCTGCTCTCACCCTGCGCTTCCATCCTGCAAGTCAGAGAGCAGAAGGGCTACACTGCTGTCACGGACATGGGGCTCTGCCCCTGCACAGGACAAAGTGTGCCTTCTGACATCCCTGGGAGGAAGGGCAGGTTTGGCTGGAGTTACCCTGCTTCTGTAAAACTGTTTCATCCTGCTCTAAGCCCAGCTTTACTGCAGCAGCTCTACTACAACTCCACACATCTAGAGCAGCTGGTTTTTAATGTCATTCCTGGTTCCAATGCTGCAGTTCATGTGGTTTAACTTTAGAAAGCCCTGACCAGAGAAAATCTGGAGTGGGTCATACCTGTCCCCTTGCCCAGGGGCACCTCTACCAAGCAGGCTGCAGAGGCAGCCCAGCATCCCTCGAGCTGGGGAGCCCTGAGTGCTTGCCTGCATGGTGCCACCATCTGCATGAGGAAAGTAACCTGTCCCCTTTGCCCCCAAGGAGGTGACCTGATGGGGAGCACATCCCTGCAGCCAGCCAGCCAGGTGTCAGGGACAGGCTGGAAGCATCATTTGTACCCCCAACAGGTACAAATGTCCACCTGGGCTCACCCCCAGTTTCTGCCCTACTTTTTGGTGCTGCTCGTGCATGTTCCACGTTCCTCCAGCCCTGCAAATGACCTACAGCCCTTTTAGGGCCATCCCTGGTGCCAGCTGGGGCTGGATTAGTGTTCACCAACCACCACAAAACTCCATCTGCCCTGCCAGAGCTGAAGCTTCAGCATGGTGATGCTCGACATACAAAGCAGATGTGTTGCACCACATTGTCTGATGTTACAGTGCCAATAAAACCTCTGAGATGCAGAAAGGCAGACAGTGAGAGTTCATCAGAGCTGGGAGCACAACTGCGGTTTTGTTCTTAAGCATCATAAAGAACATTACGTTCAAATGTTTAAATTAGCAGTAAAACAAAGCATTTAAGACCAAATTTGCCTTTCACTATCCCTGCTGCAGCTGATTTGTGTTCTTACAAATGAAGAGATGTCTTGGCTTCTAACACATATATATGAACTTTTAAAAATAGACTTTTCTTTTTCACCCTTTTTTCTCTTCCTCTCCTCTCCTCTCCTCTCCTCTCCTCTCCTCTCCTCTCCTCTCCTCTCCTCTCCTCTCCTCTCCTCTCCTCTCCTCTCCTCTCCTCTCCTCTCCTCTCCTCTCCTCTCCTCTCCTCTCCTCTCCTCTCCTCTCCTCTCCTCTCCTCTCCTCTCCTCTCCTCTCCTCTCCTCTCCTCTCCTCTCCTCTCCTCTCCTCTCCTCTCCTCTCCTTTCCCTACAGAGCTTGTCAGGAGCTCTGAAAGCCTTTTGCAAGCTTATGTCTCTACATTCTTAGTTCAGAAGTGGTCTAAGGACAGTTGGCTGGAAAAGGATGTGCAAACCTTTCCCCTCTTTCTCCTGGAAATGCTTTGAATTGATGAATAATTTTGATGGGACAGAAGGGAAACAATGGTCAATTTTGTACGAAACCACAATGCCCACAGAGACTGTTTGCTTCCCAGCCAGGAGCCCTGACATCTGTGCCACAAGATGAGCTTCTGCTTCTTGCAGATTTTTCCCTCAAAAGGAGATGGGGAGATGGGGAATTTTTCCACCTTTCTGTTCCTCTGTGGGGCAACTCATTCTGTGCCCTGCATCAGATTGGGAGTGACAGCTCTGACTTTTGCTCTTCTCTTGCATCAATTATGGCTTAAAGAAACAAAGAATTAAAAGAAGAAAGGGAAAGTCTTCAGATCCATTTATGCAAGTCTGCTCAGTGACAGATGCCTGCCTTACAAAAAGCTGCTGCCAGGAGAAAGGATGTGCAAAGTCATGTTCATCTGGTGACTGAACCTATGCATGATGTCCTCACTCATAAGCAGTTTGTGTTAATTGGCATCATGGGCTTGTGCAGCTCTTCACTGCAGGCTTAGAGTGAGGATGGTGAAGGAAAAGTCTCCTCTGTGGATTTCTTCAAGGGACCAGTGTCTGTCCCCACAGTGTGAGCTTCTCAGGGGCTTTCTGGTTTGACTGCAAACCATCCTGAACAACTGAGCACTTGGAAAAGGAGAAGGAGGAAGAGGGACAAGAGAAGGATGAGGAGGAGGAGGCGAAGGGGAATGGTTCAACCAAGTTTTGCAGTGTTTCAGAAAAGCCCTGTGAGCCCCTGCTGTGAGCCTCCACAGCCCCAGCTGGCATGCTCCTTTCCACAGGCACAAACTGAGGCTCTCCTGCAGCTGCTGGGCCAAGCTCTTTGGCTTATTGAGAAGAGCTGGCCTGACTCATGCAACTTTAGGAAGCCGAGCACAGGGTGCTTTGCTGAACAGCCAATCACAGTACCTGCCAGCCCTCTTCTGAGCCCCCTCTTTTTTGCTGAAGCAGATACACCCCTTTCTGCTAAATACTGGCCTTTTCATGGTCGTCTGAACTCCAAGCACTGCCTGCTTATGTCCTTGCCTCAGACAAGAAAACAAAACTTCAGCAGGACCACAGCAGAGCGCTTGTCAAATAAGAACTCTTTCAGCTCTAGTGAAAAAGCTAGAGTTTTCATATTTTTAGGAATAACTCCCACTCTTGACTGGAGTGCAGAGGGCTGCTTTCTATGCCACTGTATACTGTGAGAGCACCAAGAATTTCCTGA